TAAATCGAGTGCCCTTGTGGCTGAATATGGCCATGTGCCGGGTGAAAAGACCGACTTTGATATGTCGGCAGTGGAGTTTAAAGCCAATGTGGTGGATAACCCAAGGGAGTGGTACATCGATATTGGTGCCACTCGTCATGTATGTTCCGATAAGGAGGTGTTCTTTGAATACACTCCTGCTAAGGGTCGGAAACATCACATGGTAAACTCCTCCACGTCTGATGTGGTTGGAGTTGGCACTGTGGTGCTGAAGCTAAATTCTGGAAAGGAGTTGAAGTTTAAGGATGTTCTGGATGTCCTAGACATATGCAAGAATTTGGTCCGGATCTCTTCTTGTTGAGCATGGATTTAGGCTGGTGTTTGATGCTAAAAGTTTTTTCTTAGCAAGTTTGGAACATTCCTTGGTCGTGGATATCTTGATAAGAGTTTGTTCAAACTGAATGTAATGGCCATGAGCCGTGTAACCGTTGAAAATGAGAAGCTTATTTCTGTTTATACAGTTGAGTGCTCTGATTTATGGCATATTAGATTGAGACATGTTAATCTAAATGCAATTAAATGGTTAATGAATTTAGAATTGATTCCTAATTCTAAACTTGAATCACATAAAAAATGTGAAATTTGTATTGAAGTAAAAATGGCTAAGTTGCCTTTTCTCTCGGTGGAAAGGAGTACTGAATTATTAGGCTTGATCCATACTGATGTATGTGATATGAAAAGTGTGCAAACAAGAACGGGTAAAAAATATTTTGTAACCTTATCGATGATTGCACAAGGTTTTGCTACTTATATTTGTTAAGAAACAAAGACGAGGATGTTTTTCTTTAAACTTGGTGTAACTGCTATTTTAGACATAAAGAAAACAGATTTAATCAAACATGCATGTAAACTGGACCATGTTCATACTGTTGAACTGGTTAAAATTTGTAAGTCTGAAATTACTTAACATGCAGGTTCGAAACTTGAAATGCGTAGCGAAAATCTGAAAAACGTAACATCATATTATACAGACAGTATAAATAAATGTGCTCGTAAATAATAACATTCTGAATCCACGACCCCACTACCACTGCACAGCTCATACCTCTGCACCGACTCTGTTACCTAAAAAACATAATGGGGTGAGTACTGATCCTCTTGTACCCCATAAAAACCCATACTTAATATACAACACATATAATCAAATATCATGAACTCAGTATATACATAAATAAAGCTGATCTGAATTGTACTGATGCAACTACTGGTAACTGGCCGGTTCTCACGTAATCACATTCTGGGGGTCGCCTCCCACAGAACCCAGTCTTGACTGGGTGAGTGACTCAGGATGGAAAAACTTCCATACAAGACCGAGTCATCATAAACTGGACCACGAACGAAATAACTCAACTGTTCGGGTAAAATAACTTACTGGACCACAAACGGGATAACTCAACCGTTCGGGTAAATATCAACATACATACCTCATACATGGTACAAGATTATAAGCAATGTAATACCCAGTGCAGGGTCCCCACCTGTTCTTCTTTTGAAAACCTTTGAAAACTGTAAGTGCTGTGCGGGTAGCTCTATCTGCAAGCTTCTCGGAATAAGGTAAATGGCGCTAGGCCTTTACTCGGCTTACTCGCGTCTTCTCGGAATCCCGGCTATAAACGATGAACTCACTACACTCTTTATACTCCAAAGGCTCTTTGAAGTCAAGTTATTACTGGTGTACTCGGCTGAAACAAAGAATGGTTCGGTGATAATCCTTCAAACACTCACGACTTTCTCTCTTATTTTCCTAAGTGTCTAGCGAGTTTCTGATATAGGCTGGTTAATATACGTGCATGAAATGAAAAGGTAAATGAATTATTTAAAGACACTTATCCTTATAGAAATTAATAATGGCAAATTGATTGCTTATTAAGTCTGGGCATCCTTTCTCTACTTTCTCTCAATACTCTCTCGATTTGGCTTTGAAAAGGAAAGCTTTTCTGACTTTTCTAAGTAGTGAGGTCCCAACTGGCGTTATCCAAGATCCTAATTATTGATAGGATAATGATCAATTTGATGATGAATTTTTCTTTAATTCGCCACATGTCCACTTAAGTAGTATTTATCAAGCTTATCCATCCCTTTATGTGGTGTTTTCTCAAAGCATCAATTAATCACGGTGATTATTTCCAAAATAGGTTGAATGATTTCAATTGAACTTATTTAAACATTAAGCTCACATGTTGGACTCGGCCGCGTGGTCTTTCGTGGCTTGGACCCAGCTGAACTTTTGGGCCGAGATAATAACTTTATTTTGGCTGAAAATATTGAAGAAATAATGAAATATGCCCAAGACGTGATATTAAGAATTTATATAAGGTTCGATGTAACTCGGCCGAACAAATTGAGTTTCGGTCTTGACTTGACTTCTACGATTTCTCAAAATATTCTCGATTATAATTAACTCGTCGACGTGAAATACATAATTAATCTCGACTAATAGTGTCCATTTATAAAAATAAACAGATCGAAATTAATTATTAGAACTGACTCGGTTACTGAATACAAATTAAACCGAATCGATTTTCGACTTAAAGTCGAACTTATAACTGAATAACTTAATAACTGGGCTCGGAACTAGTAACGAGCATTATTAATAAAAGTAAAATAGTTCAAACTCGAACCATAAATAATTTACTTTTATTAATAACTGAATGAGATGTTACAATCTACCCCCCTTAAAATTATTTTTATCCTCGGAAATTCTAAAATTGGAGATACACACCAACTATGTACATATCAGAACTTAAAATCTTAAAAACGAGGTCTAATATCAGCTTCTCGCTCCCAATTGGCATCTAACTCATTATAACAGCTCTACTGTATTTGGATAAACATAACATCTCTGTTTCTCAACCGAGGAACCTTTTGATCCAATACTGCTATCGGTACTTTTCTTACTTCAAATTCTCCCGACTTAACAATAGTCGATAAATCTTGGAGAACTGAGTTGAAATTACTGTGCTAGTGTGATCAACCTTGTCAGGTTTATTAATCATACCCCAAATTCACCTCTCGAGGTAAACATATCTTTCCGCCAATAATGCAAACCAGTAAAATATCAGTAGGTTATCGCAATAATTAATATGCTATCATTATTGTCAACATTTCACATCTACTTACTGCTGCATTAAATTCACTCTGCGTGCTGATTCTGACGCTTGGTATGTTTTAATACCAGATCTGATCACATGCGTATCTGTCACATCGTGTCTCATACGCTTTGTTATTCTATAAACAGACTCGGTAAATCCTTTTAAAATGCAAGTTTCACTTCTTAGCCATGTGTCTCTAAAAATAAATGGCTTCTGTTGAGTCTTCTCAAGGTAGCAAACTTCTCCCACCAATCAAAACTGTGAGCGTTCTTGGCGGTTCTCGATTTGTAAATTTCCCTCATAATATCTATGTTGTAAGTCAACTAGTAAAAGAGTTGGGGAAACAAAAGATTAACTTACTTTATGGAGGAACTAGCGTCCACTTCTTTGATAACCTTTTAATGGCTGCTAAATGCTTTGATATAGAGGTGAGAAGTATCCTCCATTTCTATATAACTTCGACCAAGGTTGTCAAAGATTCTACAACTTTGATGCTAACTCTTTCTATTTATAACTGTCTGATGACTATGGTCAATGGTAGTGATGCTTTCATCATTCTTCTTGGTGGTTATGGAACCTTAATGACTGTATTTACCCTTGCTACTTGGGCATAATTGAAATATCATACCAAACCTATTGGTCTGTTGAATTTCAGTAACTTTTTCCAAAACTTGCTTGGATTCCTAGATGAAGGAGGGTATCAAACTTTTATATCTCCTTTAAAGAGAGAAATATTCATGTCTGCAGACACACCCACTGCACTTATCAAGAAGCTTCAAGACAGCATCATAGTTCAAGATTTTGTGGAAACTCAAGGAGTTAAATGCAAACGAGCTTTTGATTATTTAGATCTCTCGTTGTGAACCCATAAAACCATAATGGGTGGTAAAGTTATAGAGTTTCGCCCTCTTGAGACGCACCCTACCTCTATGTAATTTAATTTTGTATTAGTTGAGGATTCACTTTTACTTATCTGTATTTCCCTTATCTGATGTCTCTCACTACAAAAAATATGAGTTTTACCAACCGAATAATCCGTTGGTAATGAAATTTTCCAACGGAATGCCAACGGCTTACCAACAGATTTTCTTGTTTCTATATGGCTTGTTACTAAATTTTGCCAACAGAAAATACAATCCGTTGGGAAAATTCCCAAAGGATTACCAATAAATTTGCAACGGAAATGCTTCATGAGATTGTCAATGGATTCCCAACGGAAAATGTAGTTGCTAAATCATTCCGTTGGCAAATTACTAACAGAAAGCGAACATATTAGTTACGAATATACTAACGGATTACCAACAGATTTTTCTCAACGGATTTCCAACGTAATTTTCCCAACGGATTACCAACAGATATTTTTCCAATGGATTACCATCGTTGTGAACCCATAAAACCATAATGGGTGGCAAAGTTATAGAGTTTCGCCCTCTTGAGACGCACCCTACCTCTATGTAATTTAGTTTTGTATTAGTTGAGGATTCACTTTTACTTATCTGTATTTCCCTTATCTGATGTCTCTCTGTGCTAGTTTATTAGTAATAATGATATCCTCAACAGTGTGCTTGAATCTTCATGAATCTTTTTCGTTTCTTCATATTTGACTTTCAAAGTTGCTAACGTTTCTATCTTTTCAAATAGATTCATTGTATAAAAATATACTTCTTCTAGTATATGCTTGATTCACACATCAATACTACTTGATTCTTGACTGAGGAACGCCTTGATTTAGCCAAAACTCACACTTAGAGAACTTGACATACAAATTTTCTCGTCTAAGGTCCTGAAAACAACCCTTAGATGCTCTTCGATACTCTTCGATACTCTTGTAATATCATCAATAAAGACGATAACATATCGGTCTAAATACTAATGGAATACATGGTTCATCAAGTCCATGTACACCGCTGGTACATTACTCAAACCAAACGGCATAACCACAAATTCATAAAGACCGTATCTCGTCTGAACGCAGTCTTGACTACGTCAGACTCTTTAACATTAGTTAATGATAGTCTGAGAGTAAATTAATCTTGGAAAATACGCAGGCTTCTCTCAATTGATCAAAAAAATCATATATCCTTGGGATCCAATACTTATTCTTCACCATTAACCTTTTTAAATACCCGTAATCAATGCACATTCTCATGGATCCGTTCTTCTTCTTGACGAATATAACTGGAAACTTATAAGTCTTTGTCATATTAAACAGATTATCTTCAACTTTCACATATCCAGATGACTTTTTCTTCGCCTCTAAAATTCTTCCGAGAGGTTTACTGATCGTCTCAATATCCAGAATGTGATACTTATTGGCTGACTTATATCTATTAAGGTTCGACTTCAAGTCTCCAGATAAACTCGGACTAATGACTCGTATTCCAGGTTTCCATAATTTACCCGGCTAATTGACTATTATACTTTGATACCTTAAACTCATGCTCATTGGCTTCTTAAAGATACTATGTAGGACTATTCCAGCATTAACTGATCCTACAAGTACTATACTGATTAACTGATAACTTGATCTCAAACTTTGCCAACTACTGTTCAGAGTATCTAACTAGTAAGATACCTGAATTACTGACTATAAAGGATGTTACTTTCTGAAACTATGCTGCTACGGTCTAGCTTCAAGCCTCTATGGTATACCCGGCTAGGTGGCTCTTATTTCAAACCACCATGGTAACCCGGAATAATGACTCTTATTTCAAGCCGTCATGATATAACCGGCTTAATGACTCTTATTTCGAGCCGCCTGGTATCCCGACATAGTGACTCTTATACACTGGAAACCATTACTTCTGATATTGGTTTAAGAAATAAAACAACCTCTAAAGTCAGAATTTAGCTCAAAACTTAATTTGATGGCTTAACTTAGAATACTCGGGTCTCTTCTTAATCTAGTGACCTTTTCGGGATTATAGTCGCGAAACTGGCAACTATAGCTGACTGATATATCTCCTGCAAAATTTATCTATACGGAGTGGCAACTGAAATAATAAACTGTATTCTTGATCTGAACAAGAGTTGAACATAACTGAAAAGAGACTCTATTACTTGATAAAACACAATTTCTTGACGAGTTGCCAAGAATAGCTCGATAAGCTAGAGTTCAAACTAGAATTCTAATTACAGTTCTAACTTCTGATAAGAGGATAGATCTGATGCTACTAGGAGTCTCTATTATCGATCTGAGCATCTAGACTGATTTCTAGGGTTCGAATTATCTGAAATCCTATTGAGCATAGACTTAGTAAATTTGCATATATTTGAAAACTTTTGTAAAAACTTTTAACAACACTTACCTGGTAGTCGGCGAGGTGTGACTGTGGTGTGATCGATTTTCTTGAAATTTCTCTTTCTGAAACATTTCTTTCTGAAACTTAAACTTTTAATTTACAAAGCACTTAACTTTAGCTCTGATACCAACTGTAACACCCCGCTTATCAGAGTAAATTTTTTGCAACTTTTACTTCGAAAATACTTATAAACTTTTCGAAGTCTTTTGCACTTTTAACTCAGGATGCTACTAAAACTTATCTTTTTTGAAAATCTGTTTTTCTTTAAAATTGGTCTAACTGCTATTCTAGACATAAAGAAAACAGATTTAATCAAACATGCATGTAAACTGGACCATGTTCATACTGTTGAACTGGTTAAAATCTGTAAGTATGAAATTACTTAACATGCAGGTTCGAAACTTGAAATGCGTAGCGGAAATCTGAAAAACGTAACATCATATTATACAGACAATATAAATAAATGTGCTCGTAAATAATAACATTCTGAATCCACGACCCCACCACCACTGCTCAGCTCACGCCTCTGCACCGACTGTTATCTGAAAAACATAATGGGGGTGAGTGTTGATCCTCTTGTACTCCATAAAAATCCATACTGAATATACTGCACATATAATCATATATCATGAACTTAGCATATACATAAATAAAGCTGATATGAACTGTACTGTTGCAACTACAGGTAACTGGCCGGTTCTCACGTGATCACATTCTGGGGGTCGGCTCCCACAGAACCCAGTCTTGACTGGGCGAGTGACTCAGGATGGAAAAACTTCCATACAAGACCGAGTCATCATAAACTGGACCACGAACGGAATAACTCAACCGTTCGAGTAAAATAACTTACTGGACCACAAACGGGATAACTCAACCGTGTGGGTAAATATCTACATACATACCTCATACATGGTACAAGATTATAAACAATGTAATACCCAGTGCAGGGTCCCCACTTGTTCTTCTTTTGAAAACCTTTGAAAACTGTAAGTTCTGTTTAGATAGCTATATCTGCAAGCTTCTCAGAATAAGGTAAATGGCGCTAGGCCTTTACTCGGCTTACTCGCGTCTTCTCGGAATCCCGGCTATTAACAATGAAGTCACTACTCTTTATACTCCAAAAGACTCTTTGAAGTCAAGTTATTACTGGTGTACTCGGCTTGAACAAGGAATGGTTTGGTGATAATCCTTCAAGAACTCACGACTTTCTCTCTTATTTTTCTAAGTGTCCAGCGAGTTTATGGTATAGGCTGGTTAATATAATGATCACTCTTTCTCCACCAATTTATTAAGCTAATACGTGCACGAAATGAAAAGGTAAATGAATTATTTAAAGACACTTATGCTTATAGAAATCAATAATGGCAAATTGATGGCTTATTAAGTCTAGGCATCTTTTCTCAACTTTCTCTCAATACTCTCTCGATTTGGCTTTGAAAAGGAAAGCTTTTCTGGCTTTTCCAAGTAAGGAGGTCCCAACTCTCCTTATCCAAGATCCGAATTATTGATAGGATAATGATCAATTTGATGATGAATTTTTCTTTAATTTGCCACATGTCCACTTAAGAGGTATTTATCAAGCTTATCCACCCCTTTATGTGGCATTTTCTCAAAACATCAATTAATCACGGTGATTATTTCCAAAATAGGCTGAATGATTCCAATTGGACTTATTTAAATATTAAGCTCACATGTTGGACTCGGCTGCGTGGTCTTTCGTGGCTTGGACCCAGCTGAACTTTTGGGCCGAGATAATAACTTTATTTCGGCTGAAAATATTGAAGAAATATGCCCAAGACGTGATATTAAGAATTGGGACATTTTCACTTATCCTACACGATTGTAGGAATATTACAAAATTACCATTAATACACAATTAATTGTGTATGTACCTAATAGTTAGTAATTAATTATATTGTTGCCTAAAAATCAGTTACAGATCTTGATTCCATATTCCATATTTAAGAAAAGATAACCAATTGGACCTGCTCAACCACCGCCTGAGACCTTCTTGTCTGCTCGTCTCATGTACGTGATCTCGAGTCTATATCTTAGATATATTTTATGTATATGTGGGTTCTGAAATCGATATTGAGAAACGATTGAAACTCGAGTGTATATTTAAAGTATATTTTGTGTATATTTTGTGTCTGCTCGTCTCATGTACGTGATCTCGAGTGTATATCTTAGGTATATTTTATGTATATGTGGGTTCTGAAATCGATTTTGAGAAACGATTGAAACTCGAGTGTATATTTAAAGTATATTTTGTGTATATTTGATATACGATTGAAACTCGAGTGTATATTTAAAGTATAATTTGTGTAACATATACTCGAGTCCGCTCATATTGCAGGGCGGATCAAAATGAGATCAACTTTTTGCTGGAAATCATCAATGGGCAACAATGGGCGGATCAAAAGTTAATCAAACGAAAATAATTCTAAAAAAAAAAATCATCAATGGGATCCGTAGAAGGAAAAAATTGACCCCTCGGCCAAGCCGCTTTTTCTGTTCATTGGATTGATAGCTTTTCTCTCTTCCCAACCAGCATGAAGTCTTATTTTGATTGAGCCTTCTAGATAATTAACTAGATAATTAATCCTTCCGTCTTCACTTCTTCTTTTTACCTTTCTTCGCCGCCGGAGTCGAGCCGGCCCTTGCAGTGAGGCCCTTCTTCTTCTTCTTCTTCTTCTTCTTCTTTTTCTTCTTCTTTTTCTTCTCTGTAATGATTTTTCTCTTCTTCGCTTATCATCTGCAAAAATCAATCAGAAATTTTGAGAACGAAGCCTAACGAACAAAAAAAAAAAAGATTCTATGCGTGAAAACGGGACGGAGGTGTCTAGAGAGAGAGAGGGAGATCCGGCGTGAGTTAGGGTGTATATTTAAACAAAAAACTGGCAGTGCAAATAATTATGGTAATTTTGGTAGGATTTCAAATAAATATATATGAAATGTATATGTGTAATATAAATACTAAGGACTGGTATATGGTGCAAATTTCTCTTAAGAATTTATATAAGGTTCGATGTAACTCGGCCGAACTAATTCAGTTTTGATCCTGACTTGACTTCTACGATTTCTCAAAATATTCTCGACTATAATTAACTCGTCGACGTGAAATACATAGTTAATCTCAACTAATAGTGTCCATTTATAAAAATAAATGGATCGGAATTAATTATCGGAACTGACTCGGTTACTGAATACAAATTAAACCGAATCGATTTTCGACTTAAAGTCGAACTTATAACTGAATAACATAATAACTGGGCTTGGATCTATTAACGAGCACTATTAATAAAAGTAAAATAGTTCAAACTCGAACTATAAATAATTTACTTTTATTAATAACTGAATGGGATGTTACAAGAGTGCTTCTCTCGATTGTTGCTTTGCAAAATCTTGAGATTCACCAAATAGATGTCAAGACGACATTTTTGAATGGTGAATTGGAAGAAGAAATATACATGGAACAACCTGAAGGGTTTGTTGTGTTAGATATGCTGTAAAAGCTTGGCTTTCAGATATTAATAATACCATTTTGCTCTGGCAATTGCGTTTTAGTCAAAGTATATATTCTTGCAATTTATTTATTTATGCAATCATACTCCTTGTCTTAAATTGAGGTAGTGTGGTTCGTGGTGTCTTGAATAGAAAGGTCACCTATCAATTCCTTGTAAGACTGAAACACATGTTCACAGTCTAGACAGGCAGTGAGACCCCACTTGGAAAAAGACTGTAGTGTATTCTTGATTCAGTTGACCTTAACTGGAGAATTACACAAGTACTTATGTTAAGTATTGAACAGAACCACCGGAAGGATAAGATTATGAGACTCATTGATCGTTGTTGTAATCTATACCTTCAGTGATTGACGTGTTCTCTAAAGCTATAAGATAATATAAAATAGTCGTGTATATTCATTGCTTGTGATTCCTATTTTGTTAGGATGACATACTCGGTACTTTGGTAAATGAGAATGTTTATATGACGAGCTATTATAAATTATTTATGGTACCGTGTTCCAGTGCGCTGGATTGATGACGTCCCCGAAATGAGCTCAGGAAGGAATATTTTGTTAAACTCTGCAGGTGGATATTTTTCCGACACATGATTAAAGTTCTGAGTGGTACTAATTTCGAAAATAAATAAGAAGTCGATTAATTATCTTGTCAGTAATTTAATTAATCCACGGACGTTATATCTTAAACATGGGGAGTTAAATCAGTCAATTAGATTAATATTTATTAATCAAGTGGAGGTTTAATTTAATTGATTAAATTGGAGCCAAATGGGGAGAGAATTAATAATATTCTAGTGGGATATATTATTATTTAATTTTATTAGGATTTTAGGAATTAATTTTATTCCATACTTATTATTCCATGTGATAGGGAATATTCCTTCTAGAATATTACCTAGGGTTAGGAGACTAGAGAGTCTTCTAGAAGGTGATGTTAGAAGAAAGGAATCATGACCTAACATGGATTAGTTAATGGAGTGGAATTAGAATTCCTTGGCCTAATGGGATAATCCCATATTTGGCACCTCCTTAAGATCCCTAATGGAGCCTATAAATACACCATGTCTCAACCTATTGAGACATAAGTGCTAGGGCCGATTTTCTCACCTTCAAGAGAGAGAGAATTATCTTGTTTGAGAGTTAGGGAGATTCAATTAATCGCAACACGAAGATTAATTGAAATAGGTGTTTAGGTAATCCATTAGAAGGCTTTAAAGTGTTTTGTCTTTAAACCTCAAAGATCCATATGTTCCGGCCATCTTCTCCAGCCAGTCGCCGTCGTCGACCTCGCCAGAAAATCGCTGCCGCCGCTGATCGCTGCCCAGACCGCGCGCTATCGCGAGCACAGCCCGCTACCGCGCACAGCCGAACGTCGTGGCCAGGTCTCAGCCGCGAAGCCCCGCGCCTTCTGCCTGCTCGTGGCTCGTCATCCCTGCTCGCGATCATCGTCCCCGATTCCAGCTACCGCGATCCACGCGCCCAGCTTCCCTCGCTTGCCCAGGTAACGTATAGTGCACTATTCGCGCAGCACAGATCCAACGCGCTTATCCTCGGCAACCCAAGACACCCGCACGCGTCTGCCGCCTGCCCGAGTCCTTGTCCGCGTCGAACTAGGTCTCATGTCCAGCACGCGTGCTCGTCCAGCGATCGCACCAGTCTGCCCGCGCGTCCCGACCACCAGACCGCGACCCGTGCCAAGCTGTGAGCCGCGTCTGTTCGCGACCCAAGCTGCTGCAACCCTACCCGACCGAGACTTGACCCAAACCGGTCCAAACCCGATCAACTTGTTCCAGCGATCCGTTCGTGATTCAATACTCGACTAGAGTCGACAAAGGCCAAACTCTTCAACTGATTTAGTTGCGGTAATCAAATGATCTCCATCAAAGGAAATCAGAAACGTCTCTGAGTCGGCAAAAATTTTAAAAGGTAATGTCCTAATCCTAACTATAGATTCCGCTGCGTTAGGATTTATTTCGATAAGTTCAATACTGTGCATGTCGTTGACGTTCCTCACAGAACTCAACATGTTGCACCTAGACAAGAGAGAAAGGTGTGTAGATTGATCAAATCCTTGTACGGACAGAAACAAGCTCCGAAACAATGGCATTTAAAATTTGATGACGTGATGTTGTCAAATGATTTGAAAATCAACGAATGTAACAAATGTGTTTATGTCAAGAGTACATCAAATACATTTGTGATTGTATGTCTATATGTAGGCGATATGTTAATCATGGGGAGTAGCCATGAAGTGATCATGGATACGAAAAGAATGTTGAGGAGAAATTTCGAAATGAAAATGAAGTGATCATGGATACGAAAAGAATGTTGAGGAGAAATTTCGAAATGAAAGATATGGGTATGACTGATGTTATTCTTGGAATAAGGATTATCAGAACCCAAGATGGAATTGTCTTGTCACAATCTCATTATGTAGAAAAAGTGCTCAAGAAATTTGATACCTATGACGGTGCACTGTCTAAGTGTAAGATACCCCTTGATCTTAGTATAAATCTGGTAGCCAATAAAGGTCAACCAGTGGCTCAGTTGGAATATTCACGGATAATAGGGAGTCTGATGTACTTGACGAATTGTACACGACTTGGCCTATCCGGTGAATAAGTTGAGTAGATTTACGAGCAATCCCAGTCATGAGCGCTGGAATGCTTTGAAAAGGGTACTTAAGTACTTGAGGTACACCCTTGAATTCGAGCTAAAATACTCGAGATATCCAGCCGTACTTGAAGGGTACTATGATGCAAGCTGGATATCAGATTCGAGAGATTCTCGCTCCACTAGCGGATATGTTTTCTGTATTGGAGGAGGTGCAGTTTTGTGGAAATCCACAAAACAAACGTGCATGTATAGCTCGGTCAACGATGGAATCGGAGTTCATCGCTTTAGATAAAGCTGGTGAAGAAGCCAAGTAGCTTAGAAACTTTTTATCCGATATTCCATGTTGGGATAAGACTTTGCCGCCTGTGATGATTCACTGTGATAGCCAAGCTGCTATAGGTAGGGCGCAAAGTAACTTGTATAACGGTAAGTCTAGATATATTCGTCATAGATATAATACCGTACATCAATTGATCACAAATGGTATTATTTCCATTGACCATGTGAAGTCTAAGGAAAATTTGGCTGATCCTTTGACGAAAGGATTGAATAGAGATCAATTGGTAGTTTTGCTAGAGGGAATGGGTTTAAAAATCCACAATGTAAAGAATAATCATAGTGGTAACCCTACCGTGCTGAATGGAGATCCCCATTAACATGGTTCAAAGAGAACACTAAGCTATGAAAATTCAGTTGAGCACTTGGAACATATGAATGTCCTATATAAGTGTGAAGTGTGGGCCGCTTCAAATTTAAACGTTTATGAATCCAAAGTGTTGTACATGGCCAAAGCGGACACAACGTCAGAAGGGAATGGAGTTAAGACTCTATTGTGTGAATGTCATTGTCTAGGTGTACACTATGGAGGAATAGTTCAAGGCATTATGTCCACTAGGCCACCAGTGCATCTGATGATGTTTACTACGAAATGTTCAAAGCCAAAATCTACCTTTTCTAATGCAATATAGTTTGTGAGAGTTGAACACAATAGCATATATATTTTATTTACACTCATGTGGGGGATTATAATAATTGAGTGTATTAAAATATGGAGCCAGTTGGATGTTGACTTTTTCCAAACCAACTCAACTAAGAGTGTATAATTTACTAGGCTCACAACCACCTAACCACCTCATAATTGCTCAATAAGCGTGAAAGTTCTGCCACTTGCTCAAAATTTCTCTATAAATATCAATCAGCTCATTTGATGGGGAATACAGAAAAAGAGATAAAAACACACAGCAGAAGTGAGGAACGAAAGAGAGAGGAGAAAAGAAAGGAAAAGAAAGGAAAAGAAAGAAAAGGAAGAGAAAGAAAAAATATTCACTCTAAAAGAATATTTGAGGGATAAAAATTAATATTGATGATAAAGATAGAGAAAAATTATCAGAGAGATAATTTTATTCCTATTGTTTGGTGCTCAATTCTCGACTACGTTCCAGTTCGCCGGAGCTCATAAATCTGGTGTGCTACACATTTAGAGACGTTTGCCGTTGTATCTTGGAGGAAGTTACGCCTGAACCGTTAGCAACACACGAGGCGTATTCTTCTTGCGGAAAGAGTTATACTCGCCTCGGCTAAAATCTTTCTGTTTTTCAAGTTGTAATATATTTTCAGTTTTATTATAATTTTCTATATTCAGATTATTTGTAAGAACTGAAAAAAATAAATACATATCAGTTTGTAAGATTCCCGTGTAATTTTGACACCCAATTTCTAACATAGCTGACTCGTGATAGCATGTTAGATAAGGGAAAGATAGAGAAGAGAGTAAAATTCATTTTCATTATTGTGATTAAGAGAGAACTGAGTACAGAGTACATATATGTAAGAAGAGATCTTAATTAAGCCACAGTTGCTAATCATGAGCTTGCTTTGATTAGTTATAACTAACTAACTAATTGTGCTCCTAACTAATCATGATACACACGCAACTAACTATGGTTAATCTGATATTAATGGACTAAAGTAGTACACTTTATATATATACAAAAATTCTATGAGCCATCGAATGGTTTTACATATATGTGTATATAAAATGGAAAAAAAATTAAACTTTGCCATTTAAATTTTGACAAAATAATCAATTTTCGACCTTATGTAATGTTTTACATATTAGAATGTTAAATTAATTGAGAAGCAAAAAAAATGACCTGTTTGGATAGATTAAATTTGTCATGAGTTCTTTAAATAGTATTATTGATGATTATTTTTACCTGTTAGGTTTGAATTGGTTTGTTCACATGATTAATGATGAACCAGATTCACACCTAGTTAGCTTCTTTATCTCTAATTTCAGAACGCGCTGGGCACAAGTGTTAGTTCGTACGCTTCGAAATCTTATTTAACAAACATTATACTTAGTAATATGACTCGAATAAAAATTATTAATTTCTTATACCAAACAGCTTAAATTTGGATTGCCATATATAAACATATTTAATATATTTAAACTATTTCATAAAATATATTATTATCTTATTTCTATATAATGTGCATATTATCTTATTTTTCCAATTTTGTGCTTTGTCCATATTATTATCTTATGTGTTTTACATTAAAATATTATAAACAAAAGTAATGGTGTATATAAACACTACAAGAAAATGAGAAAATTCCAATAGAAATATATATTTGAATAGAATTTNTTTTTTTTTTTGGTACAATGAACCTTCCGGTTTCCGAATCCCCTAGGGGACCGACTAATCCGGAATCGAGCCGGGTAGGACCACAAGGGCGGCAAAGCTCTACCTCAAGAGTTTTAGCACAGCTGCATTCCCAGGGCTCGAACTCGAGACCACTGGTTAAGCTGGGAGAGACCCCAATGTTATTTCAATGTTATTATTTTCGTTGAAATTATTCCAGCAAAAATTCCAACAAAGATATTCTGTTGGAATGAGTTTTCCATTAGAATTCCCGTTGGATTTTGACGATTCCAAACGGTAGAATTTCCAACGGTGGTGGAAATAAAAATTCTAACGAAAATTGCATATTCCAACGGAAATTCCTACGGTCAAAAGTCATTGGAAATATTGCCGTTGGAATCATCAAATTCCATCTAAAATTCTAATGAAAAATACATTCCAACGAAATAGTGTTGTTGGAATTTTCGTTGGAATAATTCCAACAGAAGTTATACAATTGGAATATCTGTTGGAATTTTCATTAGAATATATTACCATTGGATTTTTCGTTGTAATATAATTTTGTAGTGAAATTAGTTTCTAGAGTTTAAAGTAATATTGTTAGTTTATTTATTTCTTCATTATAAATAGTTACATATGGTTCTTTATTTACATTTTTAACTTCAACAAAATATATAGATATTTTTCATTAATTTTTTGTTGTACATTTAATTATTTTATCAAACACTCGTGTCAGTAAAATATTGCACTAATAATTGTATTAAAGCCGTTGAAAGAGAAAAAGACCATAAATTCCCAAGTCATGTAATGTGCTTTGTTATTTATGTGGCAACGCAAGAGGCCAAAGGTGAATATCAATCCTCCCATCTCCCACCCACATAAATAAATACATGCTAATTAATTATTTATTTGTAAATGTATTGTGTTTCGTAATACACATAAAATAATTGAGTTGTATGTATATATATAATCAGCAATGGTTGTAGCACATGCAACGGCGGCGGAGGCCCTGGCAGTCGCCGCTTTCGAAGCTCTCATCTTTGCACACGTCAGCACACTTTATGTCACTAAGGCACACGCCCCAAAACCTCTCGCTCTTGTATTCGCATATTTTCTTTTCCTCCACCTCAAACCCCCTCGCACAATTTGAGTCTGCAAAATCAACCTCGCAATCATCATTTATTATTCATGCCAATTTTATTCTAAATAAAAATCAAACGTCAATTATTTAATTAGAGCCTAACCTACCCATGATCGGAAAATGAGATTGACTAAAGCTGTATTAGACTATATCATATCTACAATTATTAATATTTATATTATAAACTTAAAATATTTTGGGACGTGAGTAAAAAAAACGAAGGAAAAGTTAGGATTTATTTGTTCTTCCCAAAAATTACTGAAGATATAATAAGTTGATGGTGAGTCCGATGCTCCTCGATCAAAAAGTTTTATATTACTGTATAAACAACTAAATATTGATCAAAACGTGCACAAACAAATTATAATCTAGTGTTATTTCATGATATATTTCAAACTTATATAGAAATATATATATATTTCATTTTTGAGATTTTGGCATAGTCACTTGCTTGTTTAACCAAATCAACTGAAACAATATCTGATAATGATGATAGAACAGATCAAATTCAAGTAAGATTAAATTAGAAGGGCGAAAAGAAGAAATATATACTGGTGATGAGGAGAAGCACTAGAAAGAACAAAACATTCATGGTGAAATTGCTCTTGGGATACATTTTTCTTCTTTAGGTAGAGAGAATAAGTGAAGAGGGCTTTAAGGTTACACGGGGAATATATAGTAAGGCATCTGAACTAAAATAACAGTTGAGGAATTAGTTTAATATCTCATAGCCAGCCTTCTTACAAAAGTAGATATCATAGGATAGGAATGAAATGAATTTCAGGTCTTCGAATTTATGGCATCGATTTTCTCCAACATATGAAGTGGTTAATTGTTTCCTTATCTCTATTTTTAAGCAACATTAAGGAGGATATTATTAAATTAAATTTTCCTTGCTAGTTTTAGAAAAGGTTTGCCTTAGATTGTATGTAGCTAGAACTACTATCTACAATAATTCCTAATGCACTATTTGATATAATACTCAGAATAATTCGGTAAACCGGTTAGTTCGGGTTAGGACGGTCCAAGGGTTCTTTAGCTCGGTTTCAGTACTCGACCTTGTGTAGCTTAGGATATAAGTCGAGTTTATCAGAAGTAGACATGACCACGGGCCGAACCTGCTCGTCTGTTCGACCTGAACCAGCCCGAACCCGAGAAAGTATTTAAGGCGCATTAAACATGCAACCGAGCAATTAAATGCTAAGCTATAGCGGAGTTGAGCAATCGAGATAGTGTTTCTACAATATAAGATCTCTTTCTTTCTTCCTCAAGATCTGATCGCTCGTGAGCTTCAAATGGAGAATCAAGAGAGTGTTGCCCGCGAAGACCAACTCAGAGGTGATCGATTATACAACAGAAGGTTTGAAGGTGCCCCGTTCGTGAGGTCCCGTATACCGATTAAGTTTGTACAGAATTCATCATTAATTTCAAACCGTGAGTTCTAGATCCTAACTTTATATCCACTGCGCAAGGATTATTCACTTAGAAATTTGTATATGCACGTCGATCGACGTTCTTTATAAAACCCAACACAACGATTGGTCTCTCCATTGGGGAAGATGGAGAGAAGGATGGTCGATTGAGCTCCGACGTCCTTGCTCGTAGCAAATCACCTAGGTTGCTCAATGGTGGTGGCAGCGACCTCCTTCACCTCCACCCTTTTCTTCTAGGAGGACTTTCCTCATTTATGTTCGGGGGCAGGTCACTTCGAGCTGGATTGGTTGGCTTGCTTGGTGAGCTTAAGCGTAAACTCTTTTTTACCCTAGGGATCAAGCTGCATCACCTTTAAGAGGCCAGTGTCTCGGTCGTGGCCTTGACTTCCTTAGAGGAGGTGGGCTCAACACCTAACAATCTAAAGAAGGAATCAACGTAAAGAACAAAAAACATAAGTAAGAGGTCAAGGTCATAAAAAAAAATAGTAGAAAACAAAAACAACGAAGACTCCTTAGGTCGATGATGGGAGAGGCCTTGCAGGGAGACAATCGCAGTTAAAAAAGAGCTGAGGGTTGTCGGTAAGCTTGACAATATTAAAAGGGAACTGATTGCATTCACAGAATAAATTCTCGTAGTGTTTGGAAAGTTTTGGCTTCTTAAGGTGGCCTGAAAGCGCATCAAACCATTCAGGAGAAAAGTCAAAGGTGTTTGGTGGAGGTTAAACGAAGAGATATTTGATTTTCCATGCCGAGACATTAGAAGGGAGGTTGGGGAGAAAGTTGGCTTTATTACGTGCAAAGATGTAGTAAGAGACTTTTTGGGGTTCCATTCAATAGCAATAGAAAAAGAGTTCGTTGTCCACTTTTTAGAGGCAACACCGACTATGGATTGTATACCCGACCATGTTGCGGATCAAGTTGGAGGTAAAATAGTTTAAAGGAATCCGGTAGGGTCGGCTAAGTAATATGAGGTCATATCAGAGGGGAAATTTGAGGCCGACTTTGATTTGGTCGAGGAACTAGGGTAGGTCCCAGAGGGGGGCTGGACAAAAGGCTCACCGACCTTGGGAGCTTAATAGTCCCATGATCAGTGAAGTTTGCACTCATGCAGAAGGGCGATGATTTGGTCATTGGAGTAAGTGGTCAAGGTCTTGGGATTGAAAAGTTATACTAGATTGGGTACAACATTGGCTTTTTTGCCCCTGACCACGGTAATTTGGTCTTCTTGTTTGCAGGAAGCATGAATGGCGAGGTAGGGGATGTTTTTTAGCAATCAATTATTGAGTCAATATGGGCAAGGCTGAGGTTCTTATATGGTTCATCGTTGGGCTGAGAAGATGAGATCGATGAGATGGCTTGGACAAAGTTTGATTTAGTGGCTTGAGTTTTGATAAGAATGAAGAAGGTTAAGGCGAATGATGGCCAAAATACCCATAAAAATTAAAGAAAGAAAAGCAGAAGAAGAATAACAAAAGAAAAATTGGTAAAGTAAGGCACATACCCATGAGTTGCACGGAAGGTAGACGTAAACTGTCTGGAAGCTGGGCTAAGGCTGTTAAATCATTTTTGTAGTCTTCGTAATATTTTTTGCAGGAAGAGCTTTGAAATGATAGGGGGTAAAAAGTTGAAATGGAGGATTTGTGCGACTTTTATAGCACAGTGGGGAGCACAACAATGGATGTTGTAGGTGGGTCGTTGGATCGTGTACATTATCAGCGATGACGACTGACTAGGCAAAAGAGATGTGATTGACGTTGAAAGGTCGACGTTTGGTGAGCATCAATATGGATGAAGACTAACGATCCAGAGTACAAGCGCGTCTTGATATTGAAATGTTTCTGATACGGGCAATTTTCTATATCAGCTAGTGGAATTTGAAGCTGAAAAGACAAGCTGAGTGAATTGACAGTGCGTCATTCTTACACAAGTTCTATTATCTCGTTCAAGAATGGGGAGCTAGGTGATATAGCACCCGAGATAGATCGATGAACCGACCTGAGTGGTTAGCTAGGGTATGGCGGGTTCAAGGGAGCTTCAGCTTTGTTACAGTGTTTGACCTTGTGAGGGAGCTTGCTTCGGCAGCTCAAGGTACAAGTTGACCTGACCAAGGAATTGAGGGGCTGAGCTCCTCTGGGATATCGGGCATATGGGAGGATGATACGACCTATAGGCCATACAGGTAAAGTTTGGGGTTCGACCTGGTAAGATACTACATTGACGGGGTCATATGGATGATACATCTAAGGACCTCAGAGTTGTGCAATAAGAGGAAATAGAATCCTTTTAAGTATGGTAAGTTTATCTCGCAAAGAAGTGTAATATTTCAAAGACATGTAAAGATAGGAAAGCAGATATGAGAGATCTCTTTTCTAGCAAGGACTTTAATTGGAAAAAAGGTAACCTAGGTATATAAGAGTTACCAGGTAGTGGTTTTAGATAACACATTATTATACATTTATACACGATCATTAGAAACATTCATGAGTGATAACTGACTTAAGCGTTGAAGTTTTTATGGTGGGACCCCTCCCCAGCATGATTGTAGGCCACCAAAGCTCAAGACGAAGGACCGTTTGTGGTAGTACTGGTTTTATCTCATCCAGGAGCAGTATGCGTATCACATTGGGTGCGATATGATTTGTGTCTGCGGGTGGGTTGAAAACTATTTTTAAGATTGGATTAGTGGTATATGGAAATACATGTGGTTCAGGGAATAAATATTTGAGATATATGAGGAATGAATGACTTTGTTCGGATGCTAACACATTTTCATAAAAGGACACATTTATGGATATTATGTTTTTCTCTTGGTTTTCAGGTTGTAAAATTTATAGCCTTTACAACCAAGAGGATAGTCAAGTAGGATGTATTTAGATATCCTATGATGAAATCTAGATCTATGTGCTACCAATGTCAATGCATAGCATAGGAAGTCAATAACTCTTAGGGACTAGGTGGTTTGTTATGTATTTTTTTAGAAAATTGAGATATTTATGTGAAGAGAAAAATGAACTTTGTTGATGATATGGAGTTTCAATAGTAACATGTCAATACAAAGATGTAAAAGTACATCAGCTTAATAAAGTAGCCCTAGCAACTTAAAGTAAATGTTAGTGTTTTGTTTCCACTCTACCATTTTGTTGTAGTGTCTCAACACATAAAGTTTGGTGTAATATGGCATGAGTTGCGTATGTAGAAGAAATTCAGAACAATTATCTATTCAGGTGTTCGGATCTATAAAGATCAGCGCTAATATGTATGTTACTAATTTACCTATGCACAGTGGATCTATAGGTAAAGGTAGAAGACTTACGGTTTTATTATTTGCCAACTCTAAGACGAGGTAGATTTCCTTTGGAGGAGATTGTCTGGTCTCAAAGTCCATTGGGCAGTCAGACGGGCCTTCTCAATTGGTCGCGTGTTACGTGGTTGCGGCTCGGGAATGCGATTGGGTCACCAAAGGCTGGTCGGAGCTGGCGTCGTATGTCTCCAGTTGCTGGAGTCGAGCGTATCGCGAAAGAGTTGCGGGTCTCAGCCTCGGGTCGCTGGGGGTTTGCGTCTTCTAGTGCGAGGATATCGCAGGTCTTGTCGGGTCGCAGGTAGCCACAGTAAATCATCGGGATACGCACAGGGGCTTGCTGGTCTTGGCGTGCGTCGGGCCTATGCACGTGATTCATCGGGCATTTGCTGCTCGTGATCAGGTGGCTCGGGGCATTGCCAAGGATGTCACGCAGTGGGACTCGATGTCGCATGGTGGTGATCGGGAGGGGCCGATTGTGGTTGGGTGATCGGGATTTATCAGGTGCTCGACTACCTTTGATCTTCTATTGGATATCCTTACACCTCTAGAAATCCCTTAGTGGGACCCTAAGGATGTAGCACCCCGTTCAAATAAGAGAGTCTGCTTTATTTTACTATTCTATTATATTAGTGCTTTTCTATAGCTCTGACTAAGTTGTATTCCCGATTTTAATCCAAGTTCTTTAATCAAAATGAGAATTAAGTACATGTCCTCGTCTATTTAAATTTTCTAATAATTTTACCTAATCGAAAATATAGATTAAGGAGATGTCCTCGTCTTCTTAATTATTCTTGTTGGTGTATTATTCTTATTTATTTGCCTAGTCTTCTTATGCGAATTATATGCTCAAGTGTATTAGGTGCCTAATTTGTATGTATATGCTAAGTGTGTACTCGTTTTTTCCTTAGTGTTTAATTATTTTCGTAAGTCTTGGTATCTTGTGCTTCAAATATGGCTAAGCCGTAAAGCCTCTTATCATTTTTGGCCCACACCTCACTTGGGCCTAAGAAAACCTAGCCCATCAGCAGCTTAATGCGCTTGGCCCGTCTTTATTATTTTTCTGCCCACCATAAGATGTTATCTCAGCCCAATTAACAGTCCCGCTCCCTCCCTTAATCTCGGCTTCTTTCTCATTATCCCCGCCGATGAGAAGCTCTATCTCAGCGATTTCCATAAATCTCGGTGCCATTCCTCACGATTCTCGCAGAAGCAGCCCTACACATCTTCCAATTTTCTCCACCTATAATAACCATCAAGTACATCAGCCGCATCTCGGACTGAGCCCCTTTGAAGTCCCCTCCGAACATCACTAAAATTCGCCGGCTATTTTCGAGAATCAGTCCTTTTGCGGCAACAAGAAGGCCGTGCGCGCCGGCAATCCGACCACGAGTAGCTCGCCGCGACCTGACCCCAATTTCCCGACGAGAGCAGCAGAATCGACCCGACGACGAGATTCCAGGCGAGCCGAGGGCCTAAGTCCGATGACCGGGAGCAGCATCACCGATGGGTTTGAGAACCGTACGACCTTCCTTCAGCACCGATTGTTGTGTGAAATTTGAGCAGACGTCCGAACCGAGCAAGTAGCAGGCCGATTCCGAGGCCCGTTCACTCGGCCCGAAACGCCACCTGCCGTCGCGAGCAGCAGCTCCTCGCCGGTTTCTATTTGAAGCAACCATTGTTTGTCCGTCAACCTCTGTCCATGGATAGCCGATTTGCAGCGAGAGTCAGGCCGTCGCCGGTTAAACCGAGCAGCGCGAACAGTAGCAGCAGCCCTTTCGGGCCCCGTACGAGAGTAACGGCAGCCGTTAGAGGCTTTATTCGAGCAGTCGGGGTCCTCGAACATTGGTATCGATCGATAGTAGTCCCATTCCGTTCAGCGAGCATAAAAAATCAGCCGTTTCAGCCTGTCGTCGAGTGACCCTCCTACCGGGAGTTCACACGAGCATCCCCTTTTAGCCCCGATCGTGTTCGTCGTCCAGTCCCGTTCATGTCGGGCGGTAGAAAGGTTGAGAGTCGAGCTTTATACGAGCATTACCCGAGAAACCAAACCATCTTTCGGTCGTGTCCTTTAAATCCCGATGATCAGGTAGATAGCTGAACCCTTATGGCCGTTTATTGGTTGAGATTATTCTTAGTTTCTGTGTTGATTAGAGGAGAGGAAACCATGTATGTATGTGTTTTGCCTTGTTTATCTTTGAGCATGATCAAGCCCTATTTGTTGCTGGGAGTTTGTGTCGAATTTTATACTATTTGTTCAGCCCTGAGGAGTTCTTAAGCTTCTTATTTGGTTTGAGTCTTATGTGAATATTTCATGCTGAAATTTAAGTGTGTTTAGAGTATATGTTTCAATTCTAAATTGGTCAAGCATGTGTATGCGTGGGAAAAGGAAATGAGATATGTGCTGCTTGTTGGCAAGTGTGTTCAATTTATCAAATTTGGACTAGATGAAATTGTTGCCGTGATTTCGTTAAAGGTAATCTCAGCTGTGTCAATGTAGTCGGGCTGAGCTACTATCTCATTTTAGGTCGGGCCCTTGTGTAACGCTGGGCCCTTGTGTAACGCCCCGAATCAGTAATAATATTAAGAATGGTTTCACTGCTCGACTATAAGTGAAATCCGTATTTTTCAGAAATATCCGAGTTATGTTTTATATGCTAAATGCTCTATTATGTTGGAATATTCTTTGGAATTTTCTATGTCAAGTTAAGGCCAAGATCAATCCATTAATTTGGATTGATAAGTGATATCTGTTCGGCTTTAGAAATTATTGGCTTCGAACCTTAGTTTTCTTCCAAGTCATTTTCCAAGTCTTTTCCGAGCATAACCGAGCCTTGGTATTTTGATATTTAAAATATTTTCTAAGTGTAGTGAAATATCAAAGTTCAAGCCTAGACCTTACTCTCGAGCCCTAGCTAGCCTATGCACCGAGCCGCTCGCGTCCAAGGCTCGAGCTGAGTCCGTGCCATGTCCAAGATTTTATCCAAGCCCTTAACCGATGTTTTGGAAATTTTTCCAAGTCCAAAATTCCACCAAGGACCAACATTTCTTTCACCCCAAGCCATTTCACGCGCGCAGCCCAGCAGTGGTGCGGATGTGGCTAGGCGGCTGAAGAACGCCTCGAGCCGGGCCTATAATGCGCGCAAGAGGTTAGCGCGGCAGACGGGGGAAACACAGGCCATCGCGTGTGGGACATGCGAGGCGGGCGAAGGGGGTCCGGCAGGTGTGAGCGCGCGACTAGTGCGCGAGCGAAATGACGCCGCGATGGGGGATGACGCGCCTGCGACGGGTACGTTGGGCCAGGGCGTGACGGGTAGCGGTAGCGCGGCAGGTACCAGGGACGCGCCCGAAGAGTTCGCCGAGGACGCGTGCGCGAGCGATACGCGTGATGGGCAAGCACGCGCGATGAGGGGCGGCGCAACCTTAGTCCTCGAGGACTAAGGCAAGGCGCGCGGAAGCTCGGGGCGTGAGGCGGCTAGATTAGGGTTGGGATTTTTGGCTTGGAGTGCAAGTCAAGGCTTTCCAAGATCCCTTAGTTATTTGGTTTCCTTATTCCATTATGATTTCTAGATTGTTTAGGATACTTAATATTTTATTGCTTTATTAGAGTTATAGCTAGATTAGGAGTAGATCTCTTTGATGCCTATATAAAGGCCCTTCCTCTTGTTATTTTTAATCATTCAGAAATTAATAGAAAAACCGAACTTTTGTTCAAACACTTTGCCTTAGATATCTTTTCGATTTCTTTTGCAATTTTATCGTTTCAAGGGGTGCGGTTGTGCAAACCTCGAGACACCTATCGGCGATTCAAGGCACTGGTTTGTGGCTTATCGGCAATCGGGACACGCGAACTTCATCATTGATGCTTTCATTGAGAGTGTCTAGATCGTGTGTCTTTTTCTACCCCATTCCCTTTCCTTTTTCTTCTTCTTTATTTAGCAAAAAAAAAAAAAAAAAAAAAAAATCTTCAAGACGAGTCCTCGAAGTAAAGAACGAAAGCAAGAAAAGAAAGCTATGGCCAACAAGGAGATGAAGGACAAGATTGACAACCTAGACGCTCAAGTTCGAAGTATGAGCGAAGTCATGGATACTTTCGGTGAGGGGCTTGACGCGACCAAAGCATCGATTCGGGATCTGATGGAAACCGTGAACCGAGGGTTCGAGGAGATGCCGCGCGGCTTCCAACGATACGCGCGGTCACCTCCACGACAGCCAAGGCGCGATCGACCCGAAGAGGAGGAGCATCGACCCGATGAGCGCGAGCGCGAGGAGGACTTCGATCAGCGGTCACAAGCGTCTAACGTGCACGACCGCCCGAGGCTCGACAGACCGCGGCTCACGCTATCCACCTTCGCCGGCACCGATCCCGAGGCATGGCTCAACCTGGCCGTGCAATACTTTGAGCTCAACGAGACCGAGGCCAATGATCGTGTTCGATATGCGGCCTATTACCTAGATGGCGAGGCCAACGTTTGGTAGCAATGGCTCACGAATATATACCGCAAACGGCAGCGAGCCATTAGGTGGGGTGATTTCGAGCGCGAGTTACTCACGCGTTTCGGGACTTCCAACTACCATAACTATGATGAGGCCCTTTCGCGCATACGCCAAACCGGCAGCCTGCGCGATTATTTGAAGGAGTTCGAAAAACTAGCGTGTCACGTCAGGGACTGGCCCGAGGCTGCATTGGTCGGGGTATTCATCGGCGGGCTTAAGTATGACCTCGCCGCGGAGGTTCGATTGGAGCGGCCCGAGTCGATGCATGCGGCCATGGAGATTGCCCGGCGCCGTGACGATCATCTCGCCGCTACTCGAAGGGGACGGGCGGACGCATGCTTCCCCGAGCCACGGCGCACGACGAATGTTGCGCCCAGCATACGGCCACCAAGTAACGCTCGACCACCAATCCCGGGAGTCAAGCGTCTGTCGCTCGAGGAGATGAGGCGCCGACGCGAGCAAGGCCTGTGCTTCAAATGCGAAGAAAAATTCACACCGGGCCACCGATGCAAGCAGGCGTTTTTAATCGATGTCACGGACTTCGATGATGAGGAAGAACCCGAGGCTGAGGAGAGCGAAGTTCAAACTGAAGTGCTCGAGGAAGAAGCTGAAATCTCGATGCACGCCATGGCTGGTACCCGAGGACCGAGGACGTTGCGGCTACCGGCATGGGTCAAGGACCGCCGCGTGGTCGTACTCGTGGACAATGGGTCATCCCACAATTTCATCAACACCACGCTGTCCCAAAAGCTAAAACTTGTCAACCACCACGATCGAGCCATTTGAAGTCCGAGTAGCCAATGGTGAACGGTTAAGGTGCACCGAGTCCTATCGCAAGGTGCCAATCAAGTTCCAAGGAGTCACCATCAAGGCCGATCTCTACGCATTACCCCTGGTTGGACCCGATGTGGTGTTAGGAGTCCAATGGCTCGAAGGATTGGGAGAAGTGACCACCAACTACAAGACTGGGGTCATGAAGTTCAAAGCGGGAGAACAGTAAGTTACCTTAAAAGCTAGTGAAATCAATGGGACTAAGGAGGTTGGTCTCAAGAGCATAGAAAGGGTTTGGCGCGGGGGTGGCCAATTCTTCGCCGTCGTGGTCGAAGACACGAACACGCCCACATCCGAACCCGACATACATCAAGGCGAGGTGCGCACGTTACTCGAGGAGTTCGACCAAGTCCTAGGTGAGCCTAAAGGCTTGCCGCCGCACTGGGATTTTGATCACCGAATACCCTTGGTCAATGAGCAGCATGCGGTACACGTCCATCCATACCGGTATGCGCACTTTCAGAAGACCGAAATAGAGAGGCAAGTTAGCGAGATGCTTGAGTCCGTGCTCATTTAGCACAGCTCAAGCCCGTTCTCATCACCAGTGCTACTAGCCAAGAAGAAAGACGGCACGTGGAGGTTTTGCACCGACTACCGCGCACTAAATGCCGCAACTATCAAAGATCGATTTCCTATACCGAGTGTCGACGACATGCTCGACGAGCTAGGAGGATCCCGTTATTTCTCTAAGCTCGACCTTAGGGCCGGGTACCATCAGATCCGGCTACACAAGGCTGATATTCCAAAGACGGCCTTTCGTACGCACCAAGGACACTACGAGTATTTGGTGATGCCATTCGGGCTATGCAACGCCCCATCCACCTTCCAGTTTGCTATGAATTCCATCTTCAAGGACCATCTGCGCAAATTCGTCTTGGTATTCTTCGACGATATCTTAGTCTACTCGAAGACATGGGCCGAGCACATTGGGCACTTACGTACGGTGCTCGAGATCTTGAAGGCCAACTCATTTTACATCAAGCCGTCCAAGTGCTCGTTTGGACAAGAGATGGTCGAGTACCTTGGTCATTTTATTTCTCATGATGGTGTGAAGGTCGACCCAAGGAAAATTGAAGCTATGGTCGACTGGCCGAAACCAACCAGCCTGACGCAGTTAAGGGGTTTCTTAGGGCTCACGGGTTACTACCGGAAGTTCGTGAAGGACTACGGGTCCATTGCCAAGCCACTAACTGAGATGACCAAGAAGGGCGGATTCAAGTGGACCGAAGCTAGTGAGGCTGCATTCGAGAAGCTTAAAGGTGCGATGACCTCGACGCCTGTTTTAGCAATGCCAAGGTTCGATGTGTTGTTTGAGGTGCACACGGACGCAAGCGATGTGGGCATTGGTGCAGTGCTAGTCCGGGAAGGACGTCCATTGGCCTTTCTCAGCAAAGCACTTGGCACGACTCGACAAGGGTTGTCCGTATACGTGAAGGAGATGCTTGCGGTGGTAGAGGCTGTACGATGTTGGAGGCCCTATCTATTGGGGCGACGTTTTCGGATTGTGACCGACCAACA